TCCTCTGCAGCGGTTTCCCTTGATGCCTCCGCGACACATGCCTCCCCACATGATGCACAGAGGGCCCCCGCCGGGGCCAGGGGGCTTTGGGATGCCTCCCCCCCACGGAATGAAAACCCCGTTCCCTCCGCCGGGTCACTTTGTGAGACCCGGGGGGATGCCGGGAAGCGGGGGGCCAGGCGGACCTGAGGATAACAGAGATGGGAGGCAGTTTAGGAATGACAGGCAGACGTTCACGCCTAACAGAGACCAGGAAAGGTTTGGAAGGAGATCTTTTGGAAATCGGGTAGAAAACGATCGTGAGCGCTATGGTAACCGCAACGATGACAGAGATCACGAGCGACTTGGTAACCGTGACAGGCGAGACTGGGGACGAAGAAGCCCTGACCGTGATAGACACAGAGACTTGGAGGACAGAAACAGGCGGTCCAGCGGCCATCGAGACAGAGAGAGAGATTCGAGAGATCGGGAGTCTCGCAGAGACAAGGAGGAGAATCGAGGAAAGGAAAAACCGGAGATGACAGACAGGGCGGATGGCGACAAAAACCATGAATCTCATAGCGGCAAAATGGAAGACGCAGACATTGTTTCAGAACTTGCTGTGGGAGAGTCTGAACCTACAGGTGTAAAACCTGTTGAAGAGTTAACACCCGAGGCTACCTCATCTGTGGAACAAGCGGAAAAGGATATGGGCTCAGTGGCGGAGGCTCCTCGCTAGAGACTGGAAGTTGTCGAAAGATGACAGTGACATTTGTTGGAGTGTAGAGCTTTAGAGTTGTACAGTCTGCTGTATTATATTTGCTTCTGCTTATATCACAGCCCCTCAGTAGTTGGTGGGGAATTGTAAGCAATTTGATTGCTTCCCTTCTATTTAAAATAGCCACAACATAACATGAAATACTGAAGATATGATTAAAATATTACCCATTTTTGCTGTAACTTTTTTAAAGTTTTGACTTTAAAAAGTTTACAAATCAGAAGTAGAAGTGCTTTCTATTTTTTTTTTAATTTAAGAAAAGGTAACGGTGAAAGCTCCTCAAAACAATAGGGATGTGTTTTTAATAAACTCTATTTTCGTAACAAACTTTAACGTGTGCTATTCTTCCTACACTGCACTGAAGTGGAAAAGGAGTGTTCAACATCTTAAAGTTTGAACTGTTAATGCTGTACTGGAGTCTAAATTAGACTGTTTTGTTTATATTTGTTAAAAGAAATACATCTGTTTGTGTAGCTATTCACAGAAGCAAATTTTTATTTGTAATAGTCATCTTGATTTTTAGATTGCTGCATTTTAATGATTACTTGACCATACTAGGTAAAAGTTAGTGGTTTTAAAATGTTAATTGAAGAGTTAACTGTTTAGTGTTTGCAATGCAGTCAATTTTTTTTTCTTTTTTTTCCCCCTCCAACTGGTTCTGTGGTAAATGTTGCCCTAATTAGCCTTTTTTTAAAAAGTGGACACCTTCAGACATACTAAGTCTGCTCTGCTTGTGATGTTATAAAATTACTGTGTGTGGTGGGCTAGGAAGCACACCAGTTCAGCATCTTTTGTACTTGTTATTCATTGATGCTTTTTGGAAAGTGGGGTGAAGGAGAAATCAAAGACACCAAAACACAATATAAAATGCTAACCTATTTTTTTTAAATGGGGCTGGGAAGAGGAAGGGAGGCGGGAGGGTGCTCCAGGATTTTAAAATGCTGCCTCTTCATTCACACAAGTCTGGGCTGCTACTGTTGTCTGTGTTAACGATGTCTACCTCCTGTAATCCCGCAAGAGGTAGGTTTAAGATTTTTACCCACCTAGTGTTGTACCCATCGGACTGATGGACAAAGAGCGCATTTTCTTGCATTTGTGTGAGTTTTACCATCTTCTCTCCGTATCACTTCAGTAATTTTAAGAGGGCAAACACTAGTTCTTGGTGGTCAGCCCTTCAGGTGCAAACAGTTTTGAAAGACGGCTGCGTTGTACGGAGCGGAGTCAGAGCCCTGGCAGTTCTGCCCTGAAACACACTTGCTCATCCATCGCTCGGGTGGCACCAGGCCGCCAGTTGAAGCTTGTTTAACTCTAGAAGCGTAGTGGGAAAATTGTATGAATCCTGTGCATATTTAATTTTTTTTTTTTCTCCTTGATATGGGTGTGTTCTACTTTTAAAGTTGGGTTTTTTCCCCTAAGTGAAGGGCAGCTGCTTTCTTACATCAGTACTTTTTCATAGCTGCTCTGCGGCAGAGGGGTTTTTTTCTGGGGGAGGGAGGGGGGGTGGGAAAGCAAATGTGGAGTTATGGACTGGGGAGAGGACATATATTTTTATGTTCTTGCAATAGCAGAATAAAGAGAGAAAAAACCTGTTTACATACTTGTAGTGAATTCAGCTTCCATGTGTTAAAAACCTGTGTCCTTAATGTTTGTTTCATGCTGGGCCAGCGGAACTAACTTTTTTCATACAAATCCAGACATTTATGTCTTAGGTTTAAGACTTGTCTTAGTAAAAACTGCCATAATTCTGTAAGGAGGTAGGATTTTTTTTAATGAATACACTTTATTAAAAGATTTGAAGACAAGAATGAAAGAGACGGAAGGCTTATCTGTTCACACAAATGCCACCTCACATTCTCTCCATCTCTCTTTTTAGGAAATTGAAAACAAAGCCTACGAAAACTTTGGATATTTTTTGCAGAACAGTTTCTTACTGCCTTCTGAAGCAGTAATTGTATAATAAACCTACTGGCGATGCATCATCTTTACAGCATCACCAGAGTAACTATATCCTGCCCTTGTACAACTACCAAATTTCTGGCTTTAAAGTAAGACAAGCCACCAATTTGTACTGGGAGGTTAGTTAGCTCAGTGCAAGCATCCATTACTGATAAGACAATACAGCGTTAGCAATTAACACCTTGGTTACAACGATTTGTACGCAAACAGAGCGTTACTTCTACGTCCTTCGATACAGCATTGACTTCTAGGGTAGCGTGCCATCAGGCATTTAACCCAACAAGAGAAAACAGGTTTGAAAGCCAAGACCTGCATATACCCGGCTTTCAAAGCAGCAAGGTTCAGCGCTGAGAAGGGCTGGGAGAGGCGGCAAGCAACAGGGCTGCCAGAGCTCTCATTCCACTACAGCTTGACCTACAGTTGTCAAGTACTTGCCGCTTAGGGAAAGGGGAGACGACGTAACCGTCCTCTGAACTTGTGAAACGCAAAGAGGTGATGGTGGTATTTGTGGGTGTTCAGCGTTCTGCATCCCCCCGTGCTTAGGAGGGAGCTGAAAGATGCAGTCACTCTCTTAATTCTGCTGCAGCAGCTGAATCAGAGCATAGACTAATCCACTGGAAGAGGTACAGGTGGGTAGAGACTGTACACACAATTGTTCGCCACCTGCAATGAATGTAAGTTTGAAGTGTTTTTACAGTATTCTGGCTCTACTAACAAAAGCCATTCCATTTGTAACATGCTGCACTGGAATCTGGGTGTCTAGAACTACAACCAACTGCTTCCATGAATATCTCTTATGTACAAGATGATAAAGGAATGTTGATACAAGTCTTCATTAAAATTAATAATTTTCTCTATTAAAAGACTTGGAAATCTGTGTTTAAGAGGTACACACAAGAAAATAATGGAAACTGGCACTAGTATACAGTGATGACACTGCTGAAAAGCTTTATGAAATCAAATATGGAACTTCTGGCTATGTATATGCTTTTTAAGGAAAGACCTATTCCACACTAAACACTCCTGCATAGCTTGACAAAAGGAGTTGTCTTCACCAACGCATCCAGACTTTCACGACACACCCACCCACAACCCAACCCACACAGCCAGAGGTCCCCATGCAGCACAAGGACACCAGGACCCTTCTGTGTGCTTAAGGCTTCCCCACCACACACTTGCAGTCATACACAAGTGCCCCAAGCATTACACACCATCACATTTCACAGCAAGAAGGTATTCCTGCAAAGTCAGCGATTGTCCTTAGGTACACAGAACCCCCAGCTGTAACATGCAGAGGGTGCCAGGTTGTTACCACAGAGCATGGGATTCTGTCACAGGAACACATGACAATGTTCTTTGTTACTGCATGATTGATCACAGGTCTTAGTTGTTCCAGGGTTACTGCCTGGAAGCAACTTCGATGCTGTTGGTGTCTAGCAAATTAACTACTGACATCACAAAGTCCAGGCCTGCTTGTCATGTTAGCATACCAGCATGTTGTGCTTTGGGTTGTTTTTTTTTATTTTTTTTTTTTTTTTTTTTTTTTTTACAGACAGCAAGACCAAGGTGTATTTGCCCAGCAAGTTTATTACACAAGATTGAAACCTACAAATGCTGCAACATTGCCAGGAGGAAGCCCCAATACATACAGTGCCTACTGCTCCTTGGCCAGCAGTCTTGCTAGAGCTCATGAGGCTAATCCTCCAAATGACACAGCATACTGGAAGTTTTGGTGTTCAGGATGTGATCACTACTACACATTTTCCATTACACAGAATGGGAGTCCCAGTTAGTGAAGGTTATACTTAATGGTTACAGCAGATGCTTTAGCAGAAGACTACGGAGACATTCCATCAGGGTCACTTTAATTGCAATACACATCATACAAAATTAAGTCAGCCTTAAGTCAGTTTAAGTGATACTCAGAATGCAGAGTAGTAATAAGATTAAGTGATAAATCTTTTGTTTGCACAAGGAAGGGCAGGTACAGCATTTGCAATGAAATACAGCCCATTTATCACTGTCATCTTAAGCATTTTGGGTACAATACTTAGTTCTTCGCTATTCCAATTACACCACAAGCTAAACGAGGTCCAGCATTTCCAGTTAATTTGCTCTCATTATCTCCCCCTCTACCCAGGTCATCACGTTTTTCATGGACCTAAAAGAGAATTGAAGATACCTTAATTCATGTTACTGCATAACTGATCAACATTTTTTACTACTCACTCATAGCAGCCATGACGAGCAGTATTGCCAGCTACCAGCAGGGTGTGTTACACAACAGAGAGAACCTACTGTAATTATGCACTGCCAAATGCCAAATTGATACTCATGCTAAAAACTTAAAGAGTAGACTTGTCTAAGACAAGAAGTTGCCTTCAGCTGAATTTGTTTGGACTGGAAGTCACCAAACCCCTGTGTTTCAGAAAGTCATTACTAGTCCAAGAGCAAGCTTGGACTTATTCAAGGTCACCCTGACAACACAAGGCTGACGGCTGCACTGCGGGCACAGTGCCTTGGCCGCGCCATCCAAGGTGCTACACTACACATCCCCCTGCTCCTTGGCCATCAGTCCGAGCCCGTTTCATGCAGGAGCACGGCAATCTCAGCACACACTGGAGTCCCAAGGGAAACAAGACTGACAACGCTCATCTGCAGCCAAATCCCTCCACCTCCCTGCTTCCCAGGGAGGCCATGGCACGAGTTACACCAGCAGCTACCAGACCAGTACTGGCAAACAGTGCCCTGAAGCGCCCATCACCGTGCCTTTCGGTGGCAGCATTTGTGCCAGACTGCCAGTTCCTTCCTCAGATCAGGTTGCTTTAGTCACTCACAGCTGGAAGAGGCAAAGTTGATGGACAGGAACATCTTCAAAAGGCAGGCAGAAAATTAAGATCTCATGGCAGTGAAGTGCCATACTAATACACAGAGGACTTTCAGGCAAGGCTTCCAAGAACTCCCCACATTGGAAATCTTGCACTACAAGTTCTGTAACAAACACCAGGGACTGGCCTCCAGCATCAAAAAAATCTCTACTCGCTGGCAAGATCACTCTAGAGTTTCTTAAAGCATCCAAGTAGGCACCAAGGCACTTACCACCATGGTACGTCCAATGATGTTGTGTGGTCCGCTAAGAGAAATGACGCAATCTTGTATTTCCACTTCTGCCACTCCTCCTTTAGCAGTCACATTGCCAAGGTCTCCCACGTGCCTACACAAAGAAGCAGAGAAACTCACAGAAAACTTGGTTAAATTGAGAGCTCTAAGTGATGGCCTGGACAATACAATACCCATAGTTACTACACTCAAGTACTCCACCATCTTATCTTAAACAGCACATATGTCCTCATTTACCACTACCAATCAATCTTGAACACATCTGCTATTTTAACTCCTTTAGTTCAAGGGATGATTAAAATTCCATCCTAGGTAGAACTTGAAACGGGAAGGTTAATCAACTTTGGGGAAAGGAATGCCACCACTCCATAACAAGCTAAGCCAACAGTGCACAACTCTTATAGCGAAGGATTCCTCCATGCTGATGGCATCTCCCTCTGCTTAAAGTATCTCAAATTAGGTGAAAACCTTTCCTGCACATACAAAGTGCCACTATTCTTAAGAGCTTTTGATGTCTACCACAAATCAGCTATTCCACAAGCAGCTGCAGGCTCTAAGTTTAAATAGGATTATTAAAAGCAGTTTGTCAAGCAACAGGTCAAAGGGGATGATGCACTAAGTGGTTTTATGTTGCAAGGTTTTATCGGAGCTAGATCTCTGCTAGGACTTCCCTTAAGAATTAAGCCTCAAGCAGTTCAGTTTTCACTGAACTTCTGCACATTCCAGTTTTCCGCCCCAAACAAAACATCCACTCAAAAGACAAACTGATGATGTTCTGCAAGACTCTTCTATCCAGATTCAGAACCTTGAGTATCAGCTCATTTCTAAAACTCTCCACGCGTGCAGGGTGACCAGCTCAGCTAGCTGAATGCTGACTACCAGCTTCTTAGACAGCATAGCCCCAATGTCATATTTTTAAGCAAGTTCTATAAAATCAGGTCAAGGGCAGTTTTCCCTTCAGGAATTTGCTTGATTTAAGCTTCCAGGAAGCTTCAGGCCAATTGTTTCAATGATCTAGTTCTTATACTCTCCTAAGGAATTCCCCAGCCTACAGCTGCCTGAACAGGCAGGTTACACTAGAAGCAGGTTTTGACAAAGCAGAACCAGCAGAAGCCACGATGTTCATGCAATTTTGACCTCTAGCACTGGAGCAGCTGGCTGCCTGTGAAGCCTGTGAGCACACCATTTCATGCTGCTCTGTCATCCAGACAGCTGGCTAGCAGCCAGCTTGCTTTGTCTGGCATGCAACTGATCATTCAAGTATGAATTTATCAGTCACAGAAGGTGCAGTTATGGACATAAACATGAGCATTTGAAAGCTGATCACAATGCCAAGTTGGTCACAATGCTGGTCCGGACCCTACCTGCGCAAGACCAGCCTCTTTTACACTTGCTCCTAGCTCCACTCGCTTCAGCTCTTTGTGCAGCCCCCTCCCAGTCTCTGAACCCCATCAGCTCAGACATCAGGTCTCAAGCATGCAAGGGTTCCCTGAAGGTAACTGGCCTACGAAAACTGCTTCCAGGGGACGAATTAGGTCCCCACTGAGGTACAGAGATATTCAGCATAAGCATCAGACCCTGTATTTCCACACAGCACACACAACCCCTAAGGACTACATATTGTAGGTGGTATGGTACCTAAGCTAAAGGGTAAGAACAGCCCAGCAAACCCAATAAAAAGCCACCATGCCTGGGCACACACAGCTTTATATTCATCTTGCAGTCTCCCCAGAAGCCTCAGTACCTTCCATTGATGATCCTGATCTGCCACATGACAAGCCTGCATATAGCTCAACAATTGACAGTTTAGGGCCCCTGTTGCCAAAAGCTGGCCCCAAAACAGAAGCAAGTCACCACTGACCAAATAAGGCTTTAACACATGACACCACCACCACCCCCCCCTCCTGCTCATACCCTGAGGAATCTTCACTCAGTAAGAACCTTTATTTCCTCTTCTCCCCAAGCTATGATAAGACCAAGAATATATCCCAAAGACTACATTTTACCCATACTCTTGGAGCCAAGGTGTCTAACAAATCACCATACAGTTATCAGAGCCTTTGTTAACTGACCCTAGAACTCCTCAGGAATTATGAGTTTTCTTCTGGTATTGTCCTAGCATTAGTGATGAAGTGGCCTCTCAAGCACAAAGTAGCACTTAGATGGCTGCTGCATGGAGTAGCTCCCCAGTAAGAGGCCAGGCACATTAAACTCACCTTTCTGCATCATTTGGTCCACCATGCTGCTTGCCTTCAGGATTGAAGTGAGAACCTGCACTGGTACACCCTGAAACAGAACACAGTCATCAAAAGTAGATTTTTTTGCAGTAGCCAGTTTAAATCTGTTGCTTATACAGTACACACCAAGGTAGTCCTCCTATAGCCAGAGGAAGTGAAGTCACTAATGATGAAATAGCTACTCTCCTGTTAGATGTTCTACTAGTCCTTTGGAGGTAGGTAACCTACTACAGATTTACAAGTTCAATAAAGTAAGATTACTCGTTCTAGAACGCTCTGGGCTGGGTTGAAAGTTTTCTTATTTCTTAATACTAGGTTATAAAGTATTTAGGTTAGTGCTTGATATGTGAGATCTTGAGCACTAGCCTAAACATGTTCAAAGTATTAAACTGTAAGCAATTCTTTAGTAAATGTCATCATTTCTTAACACAGGTTTGCAGTCATGAGACCTAAGTGCGCCTATACTGGTTGCTGCTGCAACATTAAAAGAAGCTCATTAAAGCTGAGCAATCACATTACAGCTGTAACACAAACACTTGGATAGACATCTTACCATTTGTATTGTCCCCAAATTCATGGACATGGAAGCCATGATCTCCGTCAGTCAGGCCACTGATTCTTCCAGTAACTTTCACTGGTCCATCACCCTTTTATGCAAAAAATTTATTATCACCAAAATGACTACAGCACTAAATGGCCTTGTGTCACGTGAAGCTTCCTAGTCAACTGAAAGCACTAGAGACTCCACTACAAGTTCAGCTACCCAGACGTGAATGATTACCCTCCTACCCTAACTGACTATGTGGCAATACAGCATTTCACAGAATGGTTACATTGATTTAGCCACCTAAAATACACTCTTCCTATTACGCATCAACAAGCAAACAGAACGCCTTTTATCTGACCTCTTGCTTTTGAGATGGATGGCACGCTTCCGTCTGGAAGCCCAGGTAAGCCAAAGCCATTCCTCCTCTACAGAGAGAGTACTGCCCACACGCAGTCCCAACCTCTTTACCGAGCACAGGTTACTTGGGAGCGTTAAACGGGCTCCGGCCGTTTGGCAATTAGCGCTCCGTTAAGCCCTACTCTGACAGGGGTAAACAAGCTCCGAGAGAAGACGAAAGCCGGTTCCAGCACCGAGCTCAGCCGAACACC